TTGTTTACAATTCATATTATGGTATGAATAATTCTTATGCAATATACAATTTGGCAACTCAATTAATATTAAGATTTCGCGCAATGAACATATTTCGTCTTGTGTACTCATTTGACCAGAAATATGAAGGTTGGTTCAATAAATCGTAAATATTACCAATTGTTTGGTTAGAAAATAATCTTTATCAAATAAAAAGTAATTAAATTGATAAATTATACTTAAAAGGTAAATATTATGGGTTATTTTCTTATATATAAACCTTTATTGAATTATTTTATTATAAGGAGCGAAAAATTTTATACATAAATTGTTTTATAATTTATTTTGATCTTGAGGTCACACACACACACGCACACACACATATATATACACACTGTAAATATTACAAAATACTTGGTTATAGAATAAGCTTTATTAATTTATATATAAATTAAAAATGATTAAATTGTTAAATTATACAAATTGAAAAACTCTTAACAAAAAATTAGCAAAAATATAACCACATCCATAAATTTGATTCTATTTCGTAAATGATTTATAAAAATCTGTGTGATTTTATTTCGAAAATTTCAAAGAATAGTGTAGAGTAGTAGTAAATTAAGGTAAATATTACCCAAAATTTTTAAAACCAAAAACATATTTGATCTTATTGAGAAGTGAGAAATGCCTATTACATAACAATAACAAAATATAAAATTATAAGTGAAGTTGAATGTTGGAATAACTATACAATCTTTAGAGCTATTAACATATCCATCATTATTTGAATCACATTCTTTCGAAGAATATGCATATGTAGAAAAGTACCATGAATTTGTAGTGTAAAAAGAAAATGTTGTTAAACAACCATATGCATAAACTAAAAGTTTTGAAATACAAACTATTAAAATTACGATCATAGTACCAAAAAAAAAAAAAAACACCTCTTTATCATGGACTATACACTCTATAGAGTTTATTGTTTCAGAACCTCTTGCCTCTGGAAGATGAACAACACGGAGCACTCCAACATTGATTCTATTCCAAATGAGTGTAGGATGAAGTTGACTACCAACAATTTCGTTGTGACTTCCTGCTACAACAATTAGACAATTATATTATTTTTAAAATAAATATATAAAAAATAAAAGAGAAATAATTTAAAAAATAAATGTAGTGTCAACTATTATATAATAATAATGCATATTACATGTAAATTTATAAATTCGTTGTAATTGCCAATGCTTAACATCATTGTAGTTTATCCAGTTATTGTGCGTACCTTCTACAACGTGGGCACACGTGGTGTTGGAAGTCATCAACTCTCCTTAATGCATGTAAATAGTTGCTCAGAACCATTTCAATTGTCTCTATATTTGTATCCTGCAATATTTGCAAAAGATGCAGAAAAGAAATAAGAACATAAATTAAGAATTATGCCATTGGAAAATGAAAGACGCAATACATAAATCACCCCAGTACAAAAAGGAAGAGTTATAATTTTTCTAGTCACTAATCCATTATATTTATAGGTAGAGATAGAGAATGTGAGAATTAATTTCTTTTTATATTTTCAATCAATTTGCCTAATTTCTGTTTCCTTTTTTCATTAGAATCCTTTTATATTTTCAATCAATTAATAATATAGTTTCCATTTTTCAATTTATATTGACTGGATTTCACAATGGTATATTGGTATTGCATAATATTACCAATTAATAGCTTTTATAACATTTTCATTTTACATTTACTTACCAAATAAGTTTTATTAATTTGACCAATAAAATATTTCATTAATTTGACTATAAAAATTTGAGCGGGAAAATTACATAGGAGGATTTTACTTTTATATATATATATAGATATATAGATATATAGATATATAGATATATAGATTTGGCACCGTTCCTCTTTGACCCTTACAATATATATATATATATATATATATATATATATATATTATAGGAAGTTTATGACAAATATTCAGGACTTTTAGGAGGCAGCCTGATGTATTTCAGGGCCCACTGATGCGATACGAATCTGTGGAATAAATGAATAATGGGTTTAGGACAAACCGTCTTGCTGTACTGTTGAAAAAGAGTCTTAAATTTTTTTTTTTTTTTTAAGAATAAAACAAAAGTATTTTCCTTTACATTAGGATATCTCTAGCCATCCCAGTTACCATGTTGTTCCATTAGAATTCAAAACAATAGAATAATGGGGAAAGCTGGGCGCGGGCTACCAATTGGCTGCAATCTGAACTATAAATAAAATATACATTTTAATATAATAAAGATACTAACAATAAATGTTATTGGAATATATTTGGAAAGAATAACAAAATAAGTAAAATTGTTTAATTACTCTGTATATAAAGTGTTGAATGTCGCCTACATGTTATAAGGTCTACTATTTATGTTGTTTGTACAACGTCGCTTTGCCCAGCATAACAGATTCTATAATAATAATGGAGAGTCTAGTCTCTACATAATTTATTTTCACAAATTTTATTATCGTTTTATGATTGTATTTTTCTTTTGGTAAAGTCCGAATTATTAAAACAGATTTTAATATTTCTCTTTTGACAAAGTTTGCTATATATTCATATTATGTCAGTATGAGAATTTAGTAGGAAGTGTATGGTTATTTTTGACTTATTGTCACTTGTTTTAGTAATATAACCAAAAGCTTGGGAGACTTTAGTTTCACTTAGAATAAATATAAGAAAAACAAATTTTGGATTCTTTACACATAGGAGTCCTATTTATTTATACTAATAAGTTGCTAATAGAGTTGACATGGTGCTCTTAATTAAGTTAAAGTATTTAAATCGATCGTGCAACGTGAAAGTTGTTTAAGTGATAATAAAATTGACTTATGGCTTATATATGTAAATGGCAGCATTTGATTGACGTCCTCAAGGAAGTCTATGGATCTAGTATTTCGAGTTATTGGATGAATCAGTATTGGATGAATCAGTATAATTGTCTTATAACTTCATTATATTTTCTTTTTACAAAACATCGTGCATAAAATTTTATCAGCACTTTTAAAACCATATCTTTAAAAAAAATTCAAATTCAGTTTTCAACTCTTAAATTTGCCAATTGACAGTACGGCTGCACCACTTCTACATTTTTTAATATTGTCTAATAGTCCATTATCCGTGCTGTAAAAAAAAAAAATTTCCTTAATTTTTTTTTTGAAAAAAAAAAAAAAAATTTGAATACAATTACACAACATAGCTTAATTAAAATAGGTGATACAAGCATTCAAAAAAAAAAAATAGGTGATACAAAAAATTATAAAATTTCATCAATATAATAATAATAATAATAATAATAATAATAATAATAATAATAATAATAATAATAATAATAATAATAATAATAATAATAACAAATACATATATTATTACAACTAAAAAAAATATGGATAAGCCTCAAATGGATCCTCGACTAGACGACCACATTCTCTTAACCTTTTTTTTTCCTTATCAGTAGAATTAGGACATGCAACGCAAATATCGGAGTAGAATTAAAACTTCCCAAATTTGAGATTATTGATTTTGCTAAATAAGGAAATGATTTTAAGTTTTGGAATTTTCTGATTTCTTTCTCAATTGGTTTATGCATATATTCTTCATCTCAATTTTAGGCGAATGGGACAGTTGACCTGTAAATTTAAAGTTACAATATTATATTGTCTAGTAGCCCATTATGAATGTTGTAAAAAAAAAAAAAAAAGACGAAAGTTTTGCATGTCAATTAGCAAAATGGATACTTGATTCCTCGACCACATTCTCTTAACCTTTCTTTTTTCCTTATCAGTAGAATTAGGACATGTAACGCAAATATCGGAGTAGAATTAAAACTTCCCAGAGATTATTGATTTTACTGAATAAGGAAATGATTTTAGGTTATGGAATTTTTCTGATTTCTTTCTCAATTGGTTTATGCATATCAGCATATATCCTTCATCAATATTGGACATTCTGAAATTCCCACTGCACCTCTCAATATTGAGCAAAACAATCGAAGTTTCATCATCTAATGGACGTGAATCAAACCGTCACCGTGCTGGAGAAAGCTCAGGTGGCACCACCGCCGGGAGCGACTGCCGGAATCTCTCTTCCTTTCACGTTTCTTGACGTGTTTTGGTTGCATTTCTCCCCAGTTCATCGCCTCATCTTCTATCAACGCCCCATTTCAAGAACCCAATTCGTAGATACCTTGATTCCGGCGATCAAAACTTCATTATCCCTTACCCTTCAACACTACAGTCCCCTCGCCGGTAAAGTGATTGTTTCACCGGACAATTCAAACCTGCCGGAAATTCGTTACGTGGACGGCGACGCCGTCCCGTTAGTCTTCGCCGAGTCTAATTCCGGCGATGGTCATTTTGACCATCTCACGTCGGACCACCCAAGGAACAATACTGAGTTTCATCCTCTTGTTCCGAGCTTACCGCCGACTTCACGTGCGCCGGACGGCTCCGGCGTAATCCCCGTGCTTGCGCTACAAGTGACGCTTTTTCCCGGCGTCGGGATTTGCATCGGAGTAACTAACCACCACGCAATTGGTGACGCTAGTAGCATATTTGGGTTCATGAAGGCTTGGGCTTTCTTTTCCAGTCAAAAAGACGAAAACACTTCCCCTGTTTCTTTTCCCGAAGAATTCCGACCGTTTTACGATCGAACACTGATACAAGATCGGAAAGGTCTAGGAACACGTTTCTGGAACCGCATGAAAAACATCAAGATTGAGGACACACACGTTCACCGCCTCCCATTAATCACCGACAAGGCCCGGGCAACGTTTGCAGTGACACGAGACGACGTCCAAAGACTCAAGAACCACATCCTCGCGCGGCGACCCGACCTCGTACACGTCTCGTCATTTACCATGATTTGTTCGTACGTATGGAATTGCTTAGTGAAATCGCGACACGAGACAAACCCAGATAGTAACGCGGACGAGGACGATTACTTTTTCTGCGCCGCCGATTACCGGGCACGTTTAGACCCACCGGTCCCCAGAAACTACTTCGGCAACTGCATTCTGGGTTTTGTCGGGAAGACGAAGAGGAAGCAACTCGTCGGAGAAGAAGGGTTCGCAGAGGCGGCTGTGGTGATCGGAGAAAGTATTCACAGCCAACTGGACACTAATAAAGATGATGTTGATGATGATAAGTGGGCAGAATTATCCAAAATTAATCCTGACCGAGCTTTGAGCGTTGCTAGCTCGCCGAGATTTGATTATTATCAACTTGACTTTGGATGGGGAAAGCCTAAAAAATTTGAAGTTCCTTCCATTGATCTAACTGGAGCAATGTCTCTTAGTACCGCCAAGGACTATGAAGGTGGCCTGGAAGTTGGTTTGTCGCTTCCCATCTCCCAAATCAACACTTTTAGTAGAGTTTTTACCCAAGGTTTAAGGGCTATATAATTTTTTTTTAATTTATATAAGAGTTTGTTCTCACAATTTTCATTATTATTTAGGAACTTTATTTTTATGCAACAAAATTGTTTTTTTAGACCATCTCCAACTTACACTAGAAAATATAATGGCATATTGACCAAAAAATTGACAACAATTTGCCTCAAACGAACACGCCAAAACATATAAACTTTTGCCGTATTTAATTTGACGTAGTATTGTTCATGAACGGCAAAACTTTGAGATTTTTTACTGCTTTGCCCGTAGTCTTTTTTTGATAATTTCTTTTGTATTTTTTTTTTGTTTTTATATATTTACATATTTTTTTTAAATATTTAAACATAAATGGTATATTACTAAAAATAAATTATACTACTTAGAATTTCATCAGATTAAAGCAAGACTAATATTGAATATATATTAATTAAAAATTAAATTACATAAAATATAATTAAAGTTTAAATTTGGAAGATTATGAGTTCAAGCCTCAGTGGAGGCGTTATTGGTTCTTTGTGTTTCAGTAGGTTGAGAAAGTATATGAACAGATACTACAATGTAATAGAGCCAGTAACTTTCAAAAAAAAATACATAAAATATAATTAAAGTTTAAATTTATTAAATTACAACTATATGTTATATTAAAATAATAAAATTAATATAAATTTTTAATTTATGAGAATATAAATTATTTTAGTGTAGAAATAATATGCTGAAATATTTTTTTGGTGTAAAATTTGGTGTTTTAGGTTGGAGATGGCCTTACCTTTACATGATGTTTGGTTGGATGGAATTTAAATTCCATTTCCACTTAATTTCCACATAATTCCAAAGGCCATAAAATTTCTTCGTTTGGTTTGAAGGAATTGCAATTTCATGGAATTGCAATTCCTCCATTTTCATGGAATTAAAATCCCATGTACCCCTGGGATTTTGGGAAGAAAAAAAACTAGTGATGAGACAAAATTACCCCTCCCTTTTTTTTAACCTATAATTAATACCACACCAACAATAGGCATTTTAGATTTTATACTACTCATTCCCTTTCAATTCCCATGTATACCAAACATTGGAATTGAAATTCCTAATTCTATTCCTGTAAACCAAACACTGGAATTTAAATTCTCACTTTATTCCCAGTAATTCATCTTCCATGAAATTGTAATTCCTTTCCCACGTAATTCTCCCTTCCAACCAAACGCCCTGTTAAAGTTTCAAAGTTTTCTTTAATATAATTATCTTATCCCGGACGGTCGGACTAAGCGTGTACATGCATACGTAAGCTCTGTTTTGTAGAGCGTTTTCATTTTTAATAATAAGTTATTTGGAAACGCTTCTGGAAGTAGTGTTTCAAAATAAGCTATAGGCTTTTAACATTTTTTTTTTATATATAATCTTTATTAATTTTACACCCACTATGAATCCTCAGCCATGGCAATTTGCGAATAATGAGGAAGGAAATAGAGACATTGAGGATGAAGATAATAGAACTAGGGAAGAATGGAAGATGGCTATGAAAACTATGATTCTAGAAGTAATGTATTTTCAGGGATATAACCAAGATTTAGATGTGGAGGAGTCTTCTTTTTGGCATAACTTTATGAGTGAGGTGAACCATGAAAGTCTTGGCAATATAAATGTGATATATATATTTAGACATTAAATTGCAAAATATATCACTATTTACATCCTCTCAGATGCTCTGTTGGGTCGGGGTGTGGGGACCCTTGGGGTTAGGGATTCAACCTTCTGAGAAGAATTCACTGCTGAAAATTCTGAAATTTCCGACCACCTGAAAGTGATCTTAAATCAAGTCAAAAGCCTTGTTCCGACCACTTTTGGTATCCGAAAAAACCTTTATTGCTATTTCTGACCACTTTTTTGCTTTCAATTTGATTTAAGATCACTTCCAGGTGGTCGGAAATTCCATAATTTCCAGTAGTGATTTTATAGAACACTTGATTTCAATCATTTAGCTGATCAGTTATTACTAGTTTTTCAACTTTCAGCTGACTAGCTTTTCAGCGTGCCAAATAGAACATCTATATTGCTCAATGTAGTATCTGTTCATATACTTTCTCAACCTACTGAAACACAAAGAGCCAATAACTAACGCCTCCGCTGAGGCTTGAATTCACAACCTTCCAAATGGAAGTCCAACGACCTGTGTACCATTAAACCACATAGTTCTGGTAAAACAAGTTATCTTTTATTCCCAAAAACAAGTTATCTTTCTGATTATAAAAAATATATATACGAAGTATTTTATTAAGATAACAAATCTCTTTAAATCGCAACCATCAATGTCTTTGATTCTGCCATCTTGCACCTATTAATTCATGTGACCATCTAGCTTCTTCGAAGGTCGAATACAAACTACTCTTTTCTAGACATCATTTTAAAATCAACCGTCTAATCCCCGACTCCGTGTACATCATCATACCCATCACATTCATAAAAATTATTTTGCAAGTTGTCAATATGATAAGGTAAGTCCCAAAGGGGCGTCTTTTTATTTCATCTTGGAGTTGCTGATAGCAAATAATGTTGAAATTGAGGCCAATTTGATGATCAATCATCGGTCCGGTTGTCGCATTCTATTTATCTTATAAGTCTATTTATATATCCACAACATTGGCCATTCACAGTATTTCATCTTTCATTCTTTCAAATATCGAGCATTTAGTAATATCATCCAATTGACGCCACTCAAACCGTCACCGTGCTTGCGTTACAAGTGACTTTGTTTCCCAGGCCGGGATTTGCATCGGAGATAACTAATCACCATGGAGAGTTAAAAGACAAATACAAGTTTAGATCCAATCTGGTGGATGGATACTGCTATAGATTTGCAGTATGAAGAAAGATACTAATTTTTTTTTTTGGTTGTGTTGTAATATTGGAAGAAAGTTTTGGTCCTTTTCCCTTTTCATTAAAAGATATCCAATCATTAAAGCTCCAGCTCCACAAAATATTGTAAAAGCTTTTTGGCCTCAGAAAGTAAGAGACATGCATTTTAAACAAACTTTAATTTGAGGACCAACCAACAGACAACAGTCCACTACATTGTCATTGATAATTCTCACATTCTAGCTACGTACCTTACTCCATTACCATTGAACCCAACTACGAAGTTTTGTACTAAATTTTACTCATTAATTAGAAGCTTTAATTTTCTTTGTTCACAAAAAAACAAAATCCCTAGTCCCAGGCAAACCTACCCTTACCCAATAGATCGGGAATTTGTAGATGTCATAAATCACTGTGACTCAACGTCTCATTAAGTGGATTAGCATGACTTAGCTTGATCACGCGTCATTACCTGTGCTTACAATCTATCACCCAAAAATCTACCGAGAGAGCTATACAGGCTATCGTGAACTTTTCTTTACATTTATGCAGAGTTTTTTTTACATCTATGAGAAAATTTGCTTTGTATTTTAAATTTTATTCTTTACTTTTTTAACATGTGTTATTGTTGTGCGTAGCAAATAACCACAGGAATGGGTATCAGCGAAGAAACAGGGATATGGGTATCGGCCAATGATCTTGTAGTCTAGTGGCATGAAGTGATTCATTCAAATGGGAGGTCATGGCTCCAATCGTGCCCGACAATCCGCCGTAAAAACGAAGTACACGCTGTCGTCGTCCTCGTCTCGGTTGATGCCGGAGGGGAAGCATTGTGATCTCAGCAGGCAGGTCCACATGTACGCACACGTCACCACGAACGAGGATGGTTGTCGTGATACTTTTGACCGGCGTGAGATCACGTGAGTTTTCAGTTTTTGGATGTCGTTTTGTGTAACGATAAACGTGGCACGTGCCTTGCCGGTGACGTCGGGAAGGGGAAAGCCGTGACCGTCTTCATCAATTGGGATGAGCTTAATTTGGTTCCACATGAGAGCTTTGAGTCCTTTAGGATCTCCGATGACGCTTCTGTCCAGAAATGGCAGTTATTCATCGGAAAGTGAAAGGGATGAAGATTTGTGTCCGAGTAAAGAAAGCGCAGTCCACGCCTTCATGAACCCAAATATACTACTACCGTCTCCGGCCACATGGTGGTAGGCGATTCCGACGCAAATTCCGGCTTCTGGAAATAGTGTCACTTTGACAGCAAACATACCACTTCGAACTGACGGTAACGTGGGAATAAGGGGATAAAATTCGTTACAGTTTCTTGCATGGTTTGACGATAAACCATCAAAACGGCCGCTATTATCGTCCGACACGGCGAAGACAAGAGGAACGCCGTCACCTTCTACGTATAGAATTTCAGGCGGGGTGGAATAGTTGGAAGGAACGGCCAACTTGGCTGCTAGGAGAGGGTAATATTGGAGGGCAATGGAGAAGGAAGTTTTGAGATGGGGAATGATAGTATCTTTGAAGTGTGTTCTTGAGACGGGGTGTTGGTAGAAGATAAGGCGGTGCACGGGGGAGACATGCAATCATTGTAGATCAAAGAACGCAAGAGGAAGAGAAAACCCGGCGACTTTTCCGGGCGGCGGCGCTACTGAGGATTGCTCAACCACGGCGGCGTAAGTGGGTGGAGATGATTGAGCCATATGGTTGATGGAGGTGAATATATTACTCCCTGCTATAACGATTCTAGGCGGTCGATCTTCTGATTTGTGTGGAATTGGGATGCGTATTATATATAGTGATAAGGCTTTGCCGACTCCAAATTAAAATATCTACTATCGTTAATTGTCATCCACACAATTCCTTTTGATGTGTGGGGTTTTCTCCAACTACCTCGCAGCTAAAGCAATATGGAAAGTGCTGACCTACTCTCTTTGAACGGAGCCCGGTGAATGGCCAAATTCAGTATCGAGTGATTAGGAGATTATTAGACAAAGATATGAAGATTAAAGTCTAATATTTTGCCTCTCCAAAATGTGGTCGAATAAGAAACTAATGTCACACATTTGCTAATAGCTGGTAATCAATACTTGATCCTAACATATTTGGATTTGATTATTCAAGATTGAGTGTGAAATTGCAGGGTTTACCTACTCTCTTT